GATGCACAAGGACAAGGAGGAGAATTCACATCACGACTCGCACTACAGGGCGAGAGAGTTGGCGGCGCTCGCCGCTTACGACCATCATCACCTCGACGGCGAAATGTTCCTACAGGTGAGTACTTATCGGGGACGATTCATTACGTAGAACAGCCTGTATTTACGATCTCATTTGGAGGCACCAAATTTTTAAAATGCACATCGGGCGAGAGAGCGCGACGTGCGCGCGTATTTATCGCGCCGGCGAGAGACACACCTGCTCCCTTGCTCTCGATCGATCGACACGTTTCGCCGACCGTGGCGGAGAAATCTATCTTCGCGAACGAGATCTTGTCGCTGATCCATATGCTGGAGGGGAGAGGGAAGGAAGAGGGGCAAGAAAAGGAAAGAAGAAAAAACAGGCGACAGTGACGAGCAGCCGCGTGAAATATTTAAGCGATTCGACGACGTTGTCGTACTTAGCAACGAAAGTGTGAGTAGCGAGTCACGGTTTGAAGTGTCTTATGGCATATTTAGTGTACGGTACCTGCCTATCTTTCCATTCCTTGCAATTAGCTGCACCAGTGGTCGCGAGTAGCGTCAGCCTGTGTAATTGAAACATCGTGTGTGTGTATGTACGCGTGCGAGGGAGGTAAGTTCGGGTATTTATAACAGCGGGGCTTTACGATAATGCCAAAGTTTAGGCGAATTATCGGTTTGACGAGCATGGCTAGCTCTGGCTAGCTCGGATCGAATTCCCACGGCGGCTACAATCGCTTGACGACTGAGAGTTAAGACCAACCGTGGAAGCCGTCTAATATGTAACAATGATCAGCCGGACTCCCCCCGCTAGATTATTTTTTTTACTTTCCACTTGCACCTCCTTATTAAGAGCTCTCTGAATATATCTCATTCCGCGAGTTCATTTATATTGAAATTCTATCGTGTCGCGCATATTGAATGTCTCTTTATGAACGATAGCGATCTCTTAAACGGTATTTATGGGGCGGTCCATTATAACGATCCGCATAAACAGGTGTAAAAAAGATAGCAGCCGCCGAGCTATCGATTCGAATTGTTGGGGATCAATCAACAACGGCGATGCGATAAGCCGAGCGATTACAAACGATCGACTCCATTTCGAGCGGCGATATTATCTGCGCGATACATTCACCTGCCATAAGCACCATCTACGATTCACGATTGATCGACGCTCGGCAGTGTGAGTGCACGAACAGATGGAGAGATGAATGAGCAGGCAGAAGAGAAACGGGCGTGCTACCGAATGACGACCCGTGATTGGAACTGTCTGTCAGGGAAACGATACGATTGAACGTCACGTTTGAAGGGAGAACTGCGCGGGGATGGTTTCGTATATTATTTCGATGAAATATAGTGTACAGCCGGGCGGATGGCATGACGCGGAAATAGAAACATTTCAGCCCCGAATCGGTGTCTCGAAATGCGTGTAGATGTTCTGTTACGTCGATTGAGAATAGATTCTTGCGAGATTGGTGGGAGTAAAGCATGAACAAACGTTTAGAACTGGAATTTTGGAAATTGCATTTCGAAAACTAGATTTTTCGCAAAGACACGCAACGCAGCTCGTGTAACAAATTGTCGTTCAGATTTGAAATATTTTAGGCGCGAAAATAACATCTCTAGACAATTGTTTGTATTATATTTAATATTAACGCTTCACGGGCTCTTCTTGAGAGAACCAATCTTGACTGAAACTTTGTTTCTTTCTTTTATTAGATTTCGTAAAAAAAATTCAAGTTTTGAGTATATGATCTTAACTCTCCTTATATAGTTATACTTGCACGGCCTTCTTAAGGCAAGGATTCTTACATGAGTCGCTGATCGTGGCGAAGACTGCACGCCGAAATTAAATCATCGGCAGCGAGAGGAAAAGACAGGAAGAGAAGCGAGGACGTGAGGGGGCGGGGGAACGAGAAAGAGGAAGAGAGAAAGAGAGAGTAGGGAGATATCCGGCTGATGAACCGGCTATGAAACCGAGGCGTACGAGGTGTCTATTCCTCCAAAGTATGGAAGGGTATATACACGGATTAATGGCGGTGTATCATGCAAGGCTATTACGTTCCCTTTCCTGCGTTTTAGGTGCGCACATGAGGGAAAGGGAGCAAGAGCCTGAGACTGCGGGAGGGAAAGAGAGAAAGGAACAAACAGTGTGTGTGTGAGAGAGAGAGAGAGAGAGAGAGAGAGAGAGAGAGAGAGAGCAAGGATATGGGAGGCTAGGAGGGGGGGAAGGAGAGAAGACTGTAGAGCGATATACTTTCACGTATGAATGGTACGTGGGATTTCATGCGAGAGTGCGCGCGCTACGCACGATTCAGCATCACCTGTAACGACGGGTTATTAATCGTCGGCTTGTTAATTGCGTTAGGTTAGGCCCGCTCCTACGCCCGCGGCTAATTCCCGAACGGGATCCCGCCGATGACGGCGCGAACGACACGCGTTCGTTTACACGCGAGGCCGTCGCCACTCGAGTCGCGAAATGGAACGCGAAACGGATACGAATGGACACTTAGTGCCGGCAGTCGGGGATGAAATCGCGATACGGGGATATCGTGTACAGAAAAGAATCGAAGGTTGTCGAGTTGAATGAAATGAAGCTACGGCGCGAATTGCATCTTCCAAATTATGCAAATAATTCCCGGAGCGATATCGATCTGTGAAAATGGCGGTGCGATCGAGTCTGACTTCCCGGAGTGGCTACGAGCTGGGCTGAAGCCTGAGCCGAACGTTCCCTGAACGTGACCACCAGGTTCCTGGATACTTCAGTTCACCTCACGCCATTCTCGCGCGACTGATATATCGATAACATATTTATGCAATTCGCACGGTTCCTTGAACCCGTCTTTCCAAGACCTTCCCTCCGATCCCTCTTCCTCCCACGCTTCCTACCCCCCTCCGATCCCCCTCGGCTTCTACCCTC